TTTATTTCACTTAAGAGTATGGCCTCGATATGCATCCATTTAGCTATAAATGACTCTATAGTTTTTCGTTCTTTATGGCTGAGTAGTACTGCATTTTATTAAAAAAACCACATTTTCTTTATCCAGTTTCCAGTTGATGGGCACTTGGGCTGCTTCCAAGCTTTAGCTATTACAAACTTGCACCCACTCTTCTGTTCTGTGCTCATCCATAGGATCTTGTGTCCTTGCATGGAGGGAAGGGAACCCCAAAGTCAGAAAGAGCCCCACTGAGGCAGTGAGCACCCCAGTAGGCAGGAAGAGGAGAGGGGGAATCACAGGAGGTGGCATGGGGGTGAGAAGCACAGACCCCGGGGGAGGGTCCCTGTGAAGATGGAGAGCAGCAGCCACAGGCCCACTGAGGCCCTGTGCCTCGCAGAGATGCTGCTCCAGCAACTTGGGTGCTACAGCTGTGTGATGGACAGCAAGAAGCTGGTGGGTTTCAAGGGTTTAACAAAACAGCTCAACAGCTGTTTACATGTTCCAGGTGTGGCTCAAAAAGAGGCAAAGTTGCTCAGAAGTAGAAGAAAGTTGGAGGTCCAGCGCAGTATAGGTAAGAAAGGCAGCAAAAAGCAGGGGTGGTGGGAAGAAGAGAGCAGAATGGCTGGAAAGGGCAGGAGACGAGTTAGTGGATGAATGGCAGAGTCAGATTTTAGTAGAGGACGGGTGGTGTGGAGGAGTTAGATTGGGGACAGGACCCTTGAAGCAATAAAAACAGGGACGCTGCTGTCACTGAGGAGAACCAATGGAAATCAAGCAAAGCACCTGGGACCCACCCGACCAAGTCCTCAAGGCGATGAGACATGAAGGGAAAGGCTTCTCAGAGGCATACACTTATTTCTGGTGCCTCCTGCCTACGCTGAGGAGGACGCATGTTTGAGCACATGGAACTGGGTGCTCTGGTACCTTCAGAAGTCCTGATCCCTATAGAAGGCACAGTCGCTGCCAACGTCCCACTCTATCCTCTGGAAGAAGTAGACCATGCCACTTTCCAGCAGTAAGCCACTCAGGACAGCCAACAAGGAGAGCACACGGTTGATGTTTAGCGTCACTGGAAAAGAAAAGGCAGTCAATGTGCTCTGAAGGATTTAATTAAGGCATGATGATGTACATTTGTAATTCCAGCTGGTGGGGAGGCTGAGGCAGAAAAATCACAAGTTTGAGCCTGGGCAACTTATCCTGTTTCAAAAAAAAAAAAAAAGGGTCAGCTCAGTGAGAGGAGCACTTTCCTAGCATGTGCGATGCCTTGGATTCAATCCCTAGTACCATAAAAAAATAAAACCAAAACAGGGCTGGGGATGTAGCCCAGTGGCACTTGCCTAGCATGTTCAGGGCCTTGGGTTCAATTCCCAGTATGGTCTCAAAAAAATAAAACAATAACAACAACAAACAAAAAAAATGATAGTGGCATGTAAGTTATGTGTGAACTGTCTTGTAAAGCTAGTTTTTAAGATATCTGCATTCATCTTAGTATTACTCTATAGGTGTCCTGTTCCACACCTCCACCTGCAGAACTGACACCTCTGTGTGTGACATGAGCATAGAGCTTCTCCTGGAATCAAGAAGCGAGGTCCTGGCCCTACCGAGGTCCTGAGTCCTGCGGAAGACAACAAATCATCCCGCTGCAGACAGGCAGCCAACTGGTTCCAAACTACAAAGACGCAGAGGACACCAGACCACCAGACCAAGGTACTGAGGCCCGCTGTTCCCGGCCCAGAGGTAGGGGCTTCTGAGCCGCCATCCCACTGCTCCTGGTCCAGAGGAAGGGGCTTCCCGGCAACCATCCCTCCTGCTGCTCCCAGCCCAGAGGAAAGGGCTTTTGGGCCACCTTCTGTCCCGCTGCTCCTGGCCCAGAGGAAGGGGCTTCCAAGCCACTATCCCTCCCACCGCTCCTGGCTCAGAGGGAGGGGCTTCTGAGCCGCCATCCCACTGCTCCTGGTCCAGAGCAAGGGGCTTCCCGGCCACCATCCCTCCCGCTGCTCCCAGCCCACAGGAAAGGGCTTTTGGGTCACCATCCCCACCACTGCTCACAGCCCCTGTCC